CGCCCCTACGCCGCCGGTGGAGAAGAGGAAGAGTTTCTTTAAGCGGTTTAGCAAGTCGTGAAGGGGAAAATCCCGAGGCCAACAGAAAAGGAAGAAACAAAGACCGATTTTTAGCCCTACCTTCAAACAAGGGGTTTGGCACTTGTGGTTTTTTACGGAGACATCGCTCTGGTCATTTCGTTTGTTCGCTCGATGTCTAAAGAACCAGTCAGTCAGTTTTATATATAACCTTAACCTGGAAAAAAAGAAGAAAAAAAGAAAAAAAAAAAAAAAAAAAAAAAAAAAAAAAAAAAAACTAAACGATCCACCAACTAACTTACTTCCGCCAGGTGAAATGGAAAGTTCCTTTTTTTGAGAACAGATACCACGCATACATACATACCTACGTATATAGAGACGTACTTACGTTACATACAACATCCTGTTTATTTATTGATTTTTCCTTCGCGCTACACCAAACGGAGGACCCCCCCTACGCGCATTATAGATACAGATACAGTCTGGTCTCTCTTTCTTGCCTTTCTTTGTTCTCTTATTCTTTCTTTTCCTTACTACTTACGAGAAACATGAAACAAAAGGGGGACACATTACCTGGACATGGGAAATCGGACACGGGAAGGGAGGATAATGACAACAATCAATGGATAATGGATAACGGGTGGGATTGGAATAATGGATATGAATATGGGATACCTTGATGAGGGAAAAAACGGGGGAGGGAAGGGAGGGGGAGGGGAAACGGGACAACATGATACATACCTATGTACACTCTTCTCTGACTTGATTTTTATTTTTATTTTTATTTTTCTTTCTTTTCTTTCTTTTGTTTCTTTCTTGTTGTTGGTATTATGTATTATGTGGGTATACGAGTGGGAGTTTTTGTGTTTAGAAATTGAGATGTGTACTTACCGAGGCACTACACCTGCTGTGAAGAGGGGAATGAAGATGAATACCAGATCAGATGATATCTGAGAGATGATTTGTTCACTTGAGGTGGGAGGTTGAGGGAGTTTCATTTCTTGTGACATTTTCTCATTGTTGATCCTGACTTGAGACTTGATAAGCACTCAGTCAGAATATGAGACTGGCTGTCACTGACAAACGAAACATACAAAAGAGCTCAGCAGAATGAAGTATTTAAATAAGTTACTTAATAAAAAACAATCTCATTCTTCTCTCTTCTCTCATCAGTCTCTCTCTCTCATTCTCTTAACAGAACTTGTTAAATTCTCTCTGGCTCCGATGATGTAAACTAGTGATTAAACTACTTCATCACAGAGTCTCTACTTGATAGTTTTTCTCTCTGAGAGAATGAAATGTCAAGAGAGAGCAGATTCAAAACTCTGCCGGCACGTTCTCTCTTAACACCTAGGCCAAAAAGACCGGAAGACGGCTGGCTCCTTGCCAGCCGCGCACGGCACCCATACTTATAGTGGTGGCTCGCCTGCTCCCGCCCCCGGCGCCCCGTGGCCTACCGTCACAACTGCCTCCCTCTATTATAGGGTTTGTCCTGAGCCCTGTCCAGCCATAGCACCCCGCAGGCCGCCAAGCAGCCAAGCAGCCAAGCAGCCAACACACATCTATCTATCTCCTCGTCTGGGGCCACTTTAGAAAGCTGTCTAGAAACAAGCGCATATATATCGTGCAATAGGATCGACCACATGGGAATAAAAAATATTTCCCTGGTGGCAGACGGTTGATGAGGGAAATGTATCACCACACGGGTTATTTGCTCATTTAATCCGTATCAAAAGAACAATGAGACAGAATTTGTTTTTACTTATCGGCAGAGAATAATAATAGAATGTGCCAAGCGAGGCCGGAGGGTTGCCGCCAAACCAACCTCGTATAGTAGAGTACATTCACAGTACTCTACTCCGTACACTACATTTCACTAACGCTACTCCGTACACTAAACGGGGATTTATTAATACTGCAGTCTTCCATCGCACAATGTGTTCCTTTACTTGTTTGTATCATTTATCCAAATATGAAACTTATTCAGCGTCTCTGCTTGATATTTTCGGATTAGCGCGACGAACTAAACTCCTTTAGACTTCTACCAAGTTCCTGCTTCAGACACATCACACGTGCTCGCAACATATCCATGGATATTATATGAAGAGTTTCTTTCTACTTCAGTGATATAATTAAATAGAGAATCGCATATTGAATTCTCTGAGATATCTATAAAAAGTTCAATCACAGCTGCTATCTCTTATCTTACAGCGTATATAATTTAGAGATATTCACTGAATGCAATACACACACATAGCTGCTAGATAATTAATATGAATCAACTACTCATTATATTACCAACAGGAACTCACTGACACACATACACACATAACATACATACAAAAAAAAAACAAACAAATCTGACAAGTATCTTTCACTCTACTCCTCCTTCCGCTCCCTCTTCTCCCTCTCCTCCTCCTCGCTCTCACCCGTATCCTCACGCGCAGCGATGATGAGATAGATGATCAGAACGACATTTACTGAGATGGCGGCGAGGCCGCCGGCGTATGTGGAGTCTCCTGTGGGGTTGTTGGGGTTTAGTTTTTCCATGTAGGAGGGTTTGGCTGGGGGGGGGGAGGGGGAGGGGGGAAGGTTGAAGAGGGTGAGCGAGATGGGATGAGGGATGAGGGGTTAACATGTTAAAAACAAAAGAAAGGAAAATCGCACCTCCACAGATCGTATTCAGTGTGCCGTAATACGTGCCCAGCGGCGCGCAGATCATTGCTATCGTAACTAGAATGAGTTTGATGATGACGGGTCTAGAGGTGAGAATAGATGGGTTAGTAAGTTATATTAGCTGTGTGTGATGTTTCATGTTCGGAAAGAAAGCCTTGTCCTCTCATTCCTTTTCCTCTTAGTCTGTGTGGGAGAAAAAAAAAAAAAAAAGGTATTACATGTCTTAGTGGTATATAGAGAATAGGAAACCTGAAGCGCTGAAGAGATGCTACATATCTATATCTATATGTATGTACAAGGAACGGCTAAACAGCAGGCTAAGTAGGAACGAGAGAACACCTGATGGAAGAACCAGGCCGGAACTCCATGCCAGGACAAGAACTGACAAAAATAAACCACAAATATGCATGTATAGTACATTGCTCAAAAGGAAATAACTTACGAAGGATATCCGTTCTTGGTGTCTGCTGCTGCTGATGATGATTGCGCCGCTACAACTGGAGCGCTGACATCGTCTTTCTTCGTGGCGACGGCGGCGGCGGCGGAGCGGCGGGTGGCCATTGTTCTTGCACGAATCTGGAAGCGGGTAAATCGAAAACGGAGTTTCAGTGGATCGCCGCGTGGGGAGTGTGTTTGTTTATGATGATGGTGGTTGTGGTTAGAGAAGGACCAGATATATGTATGGTGTTTCTTTTTTTGTTTAATTATTATTTGTGGTTGGTTGGTGCTGGCTTTTTATTTTTTGAGAATGGCGAATTGAACTAGGGAAGCAAGCAATGCAACCCTGGAGCCTTTGGGGTTTAACGGCTGTCTGGGTCCCTCATTGGGCTGTGGTTTGTAGAGGTGGTGCATTTCTAGGGTATTACTTTACTGTGGTTAGTTTATGAGGAGTGTGTAATCGTAGAAGTTGGTTTCAGGCCGTGTTTCACGCGATCCTGTGTTCGAAAATTGATACTATTATACGCGTGTTGTGTTGACAGAATTTACTTACATATTGCTTTGTTTTGATTCTATTTGAACCATGGTATTGTAGATAAAACCTAGGCTCATAATATGATAACTGTTACACTACTCTTCTTAAATGCCACATGCAGAAAACCCCCGACGTATCTCTCTCGACTACACCGTGTTTTACCAGCGTGATTCTCTTCCTCTGTACAACTGTACATGGCTGAGGTTGATATTACCGCATTGGGAAATGGGGTGAGAGGATGAATCAGCAATCATATCTTATCTGCACGTGATCTATCGCGGAAATAAAGTTTCCCCGTGACGCGCGCGTTTTTCTGCCGCAAACCACGCGAAGAAGAAGCAGCCAAAAAAAGCTCGGAGAACGGTTTCTGGCCGTTTTTCACAATTCCCGCCGCTGATTGTTTCTCTCGCTACTCCTGATATGCTCCCTTTTCTCCCCAAGAAGGCTGCTGGTCAGGTGGAGCTATAGGAGAGCAGAACTCTTTTTCCATCTGCAAGGCCCTGAGAGATACTTCTTACCTCTTAAGAGCTTTTTGCAGCTAATTTGTCGTCGTTAAGAAGGCCTGAAAACGAAAAATATATTCAGGCTCCGAGGAGCCGTTTTGACGATGGAGGAACTTGTCCCTGACACCCCCCTCCGCAATCAGAGGGCTGACATGTCCTCAATTGCTGCGGGGTCTGATGCTGAGCACGATGACCAGGGTAGCTCGGAGTTCGAAGAAAACCGTTGCAACGGTCCCTCTATACAAACACCAGCTGCCAACGCAAACATTATTTCACCCCCTCAACACAACAATTCACCCAAAAATCTACCCAACCCCACCCAGATAATAGACCGAAACCCAATCATCTGCTTTCCCCCTCTGCACAAAACTCTTCTGTCGTCAAGTCGCCACATCTTCGCGCTGG